CTAATGTTATCCATCATTTGTTATGACCTACACAATCAAATGCTTCTGCATAGTCAATAAAACACAAGTAAACATCTCTCTGGTATTCTTTGCTTTGAGCCAAGATCCATCTGACATCAGCAATGATATCCCTCATTCCACATCCTCTTGTGAATCCTGCTTGCATTTCTGGAAGTTCTCTGTCAATATACTGCTGCAACCATTTTGAATTATCTTCAGTAAGATTTTACTTGCATGCAATATTAAAGATATTGCTCGATAATTTCCACATTCTGTAAAGGGATGACCTTTCTTTGGAATGGGTACAAATATGGATCTCTTCCAGTCCGTTGGCCAGGTAGCTGTCTTCTAAATCTCTTGGCATAGCTGAGTGAGTTCCTCCAGCAGGGCATCCGTTTGTTTAAATAGCTCAATGGGTATTCTGTCAATTCCCGGAGACTTGTTTTTTGCCAATTCCTTCAGTACAGCTTCGACTTCTTCCTTCAATACTATTTGTTCTTGAACATATGCCACCTCCTGAAATGGAGGAACATCAACCATTTTTTGTTGTACAGTGATTCTATGTATTCCTTCCATCTTCTTTTGATACTTTCTGCATCATTCAATATTTTACCCATAGAATCTTTCAATATTGCAACTCGAGGCTTAAAGTTTTTCCTCAGTCCCTTCAGCTTGAGAAATGCTGTGTACTTCCCTTTTGGTTTTCTAACTCCAAGTCTTTGCACAGTTCATAATAGTAATTGCCTTTGTTTGCTCCAGCTGCTCTTTGAAATCTTCTGTTAAGCTCTTTTATCTTGTTTCTTCCATTTCCTATACCTAATCTCTGCTCAAAGGCAAGTCAGAGTCTCTTCTGACATCCATTTTGGTCTTTTCTTCCTTTCTTGTCTTTTTTTAGTGACCTCTTGCTTTCTTCATGGATGATGTTCTTGATGTCATCCCATAATTCTTCTGGTTTTCGGTCACTGGTATTCAATGCATCAAATCTATTCTTTAGATGGTCTCTAAATTCAGGAGAGATTTAATCTAGGTCATATTTTGGGTCTTGTGGACTTGTTTTAATTGTCTTCAACTTCAAGTTGAACTTGCATATGAGCAGTTGATGGTCTGTTCCACAATCAGCTCCTAGCCTGGTTTGGCTGAAGATATTGAGCTTTTCCATCACCTCTTGCCACAGATGTAGTCAATCTGATTCCTGTGTACTCCATCTGGTGAAGTCTACATGTATAGCCGCCATTTGTGTTGTTGAAGAAAGGTATTTGCAATGAATAAGTCGTTGGTCTTGCAAAATTCTGTCATGTGCTCTCCAGCGTTATTTCTCTCACCAAGGCCAAATTTTCCAATTAATGTGATTCTTCTCTGTTTCCAACTTTTGCATTCCAGTCACCAGTGATAATTAACATCTTGATTGCATGTTTGGTCAATTTCAGACTGCAGAGGTTGATAAAAATCTTCAATTTCCTCATTTTTGGCTTTGGTGGTTGGTGCATAAATTTGAATAATAGTCCTATTAACTTGTCTTCCTTGTAGGCATATGAATATTATCCTATCACTAACACCATTGTATTTCAGGACAGATCTTGAAACATCCTTTGCAACGATGAATGCCACGCCATTCTTCTTTAAATTGTCATACCTGGCATAGTAGAGGATATGGTTGTCTGATTCAAAATGGCCAAAACTGGTCCATTTCAGCTCACTAATGCCTAGGATATCGATATTTATGTGTTCCATTTCCTTTTAGGAGCTCTGGTAGCATAGTGGATAAAGCACTTGACTGCTAACCAGAAGGCTGGCGGTTCAA